AATAGAAGACGTAGTTAGCGGCTCCGCACTCTTGACCTTCTCCCGGAGTCTCGAAGACTAAACGGGGTCCGGTGTAGACTGCTTTATCAAATGCTAGCCAAAACACCACCTAACGTAGTCTTAAGCGACAGTAGACTTTTCGCGGGTTCTACTGTACTATCTACCCCCAATCACCCATAGTATGTGTGAAGACAGGTCAATAAAGGCCGAAACTGATACGGTTACTATACGGCGATACCACTACTGACTATCAATGTAACCAAGTCTTAGTAGTATCAGTACTATCTCTGTCAGAAGTGACGCTGATAAAGCCAACACTAGGCCTCATACCTTCTTGGTCTCAACAAAGAGTGTGAACCTGGGTTTAAACTATTTCGAGTAAGTACATGCTTGGGACCCTGAGCACAGCAGGGCTTGCCTTGGTTTCTGCACTCTCATCTCTATCCATCGAGCTGTGCACTTTGCTACTAGGTACGGGCTAACATACTGCTGCCGCAAGTACGTGCATATGCTAAACGTGCTAAATTCTAGTACTCATGCTTACCAAGACCAGTAGATAGTATGCTGTAAATACTACCTGTGTGTGCGCTTTTTAAGAAGTCGCATCCAGTATGCGCTCCCAATCTGAGGTAATAGTGATTAGGATTTGGATAATAATTGAGTGTTTGTAAAGTGATACACAAGTCTTACCCAGGTACGACTGTTGTTATGTAAGTGCAACCTGAATAACGCCTGCCGTACCCTGATCCGGCCCGGTGTTGTTCAAGCGCATCTACCACGTGGCTCACATGTATAACACAGGCTTAACGGGTAACGAACCACCCCATAGTCAGAAACTACGCGCCAAGTCGCCTCAAATCGAGCGGCCGTCGAGGACACAAATGCGGAGTATGAAGCCCTGCTTCCATTTTAGACTGCCGCCCATGAAACCACGGAGAAGGAGTGCGAAAACTATCTCGCTCTGAATACCGGCACACAAAACCCATCAACATGAACCTAGATTGCCACACCACTGTATGGACTCCAGGTCCTACGAATCCCGAGCTTTAGAATTACCAGGAGATCTTGGCGGATCCTGTGATCCCGTGCAGATCAAAGCGCTCAAACTCCAAGAACACGAGCATGGTGAGACAACCCCGGCTATCGCCTACAAAAAGAACCCACTTCCGATATTTTCAAGTTTCGTTGAGGTCAAGGATCTAATGACACATGGGGTGAGAGAGAGGACAGAATAGGCGAATTGATCAAAATATGGATGTATACACCCCTAGGACACAAATTCCTACACAGAAGAGAGAGAAAATATCAGCTGCACAAAATATGAGGGAGAATAGGGCATAGAACTCATACTACTTATACAGCGTGACAGACCAAAAAAGAAGCGATTTAACGAAGGGATTCGGGACGCAAGTAGGTAATTAAATCGTCAAAAGCAAGGTAGACAGAGGTGTGTTTGCAAAGCGATGCAAATGAAGTCGTCAGCTAAATTAAAGACATATTGCTCAACCTATGGGGGCTAAGAGTGTACAGAGACAAAAAAAACCGGTTGGGAGATGTGAAAGGCCTTAAAACCCCGGTACATTTGGTGCCTTTTTTGGGTCAAATATAGTGCGACGGCTGGCATGCAAAGCGGAGAAGGGCTTGGTGTGGGTGGGTGCGTGCGACTTTGTACAAGCTAAATACACACTGACCTGAAGGCGGAATGCTGCACAAACGAGTGACTATGGAGGGCGGGGTGTTTCACAAAGCAAATATGGTCATGTTTTAAAAGCCAGAAAGGGCGAAGGAGGCGTC